TCAGTAAAATTAAGCAAAGAATTAAGATGCTTTCATATTATTTTAAGTTATCTACTATAAAGTGCCTCTTTGACCTTGTTGATTAACCTGCTCAGTCTAAACTACTTGTCAGTCAACTGTGATACTTACCCAGGGTGGACACATAGGCAGGACATAAGCAAACGACACTGTGAAAAAATAACATGACTGTTGGCCATGATATTAGTGAAACATCACTAACGTAGCCACCAGATTATCCCAAATGTCCCTAAATAATTCCAAGATGAGCAGATCACCCCAGATCCTTTTGTTTATTAGTGTTTTCATCCGAGAACTTGTATACAGTGACTGAAGACAAGGAAGAGTGAAGTTTCAGTCTGATCATAAGGCATATGGTTTTAAATTAAGTTCTCTAGCAAAGGAGGGTGCCATCTTAAAACGGCTCAATCAAAGGCAGTATTTATCTACACACGGACAGAATCCTAATCAAAATACCTTAAGATAACGTTGCTAGTTGCAGGCAACGTCATGTGACTGGGTATACTGAAAGGCGCACCTTCAGCTGCAGCCTTATCCTTGCGGATCAATGTGTTTATCAGCTTCAACCTACTGACAGTTGGAAATTTCTTCCAGAACCTTCCTGTCTTACTTATCTCCTTGTTCTCAATTCTCCTAAGTAATTTCTGTTCAGCTACTGCCTACAGTGTCATGCTTAAACTGTGAGAGATTTGAGACATTACTAGGAATAAGTTAATACAGACAACTAATGTGTCAAGAACATGTGTTTAGTAAAGAAATTCTACTTAGTGCTTTTGATCTGGGAAGCTATGAGTACACAATGTTTTAACTATTTAGGGTACCAAGCAATTGACATATTTCCACTAAAAATATATAGAACTAGAGTTTCCATTTGTAGTGGGGATTCATCTGTGCTGATTCAATAATTAAAGCTGTACTAAACTCCTGGAAGCTAAGGAAATAGGATTTCAAGTAAAAATGACATGTGAACCAATAGACCACTTTTTCTTCACTTTTTTTGGCAAGTAAATACAATTCTTCATATTGGATCATTACTAATAATTACATTCACAAAACATGACTTGACAGGAAAATGCTTCGAAACATCCAGCTCAGTGTAATTCAGGAGTCACCTAGCAGTTTTAGAATTGACATTGTGATCTTTCATGTTATATCTAATAAAGTCTTCAGGCACAATGCATAATGAATTCACCAAATTAATAATGTCAGAAAACGAGGCATAAGGTCACTGTTCTAGTTTAATGACCATTTATGTTTGATTATATATGAGCAAAAAGAAAATACAAACAAAACTAAATTCCTAACAGCATTTGGCCTAACTTTTAATGTAAGTAACTTTGGAAAATTCAAGATGGTTTAATCTGTTGCTTAAAAATATTAACCACCAAAAGACATACAAATAAGACAAATAGGCATTGTCTTATTAAAATAAAATGCCCATTCCAAACAGCCCACATGCTTATGTTACTCTATTATAAACTTTCTGCATTTTTTCTTTCAGAAATGTATATAAGTAATTTATATTACTGTAATGTTACATAAGACTCAAAATGTGATATGAACATACAGAACATCTCCCACTTAAATATATAATCCTATCCAAATAATGAAAGGCTAACAAGTACTTATAGACTAGTATCTTTTAATCAAATGTCACACCACATATAAATTATAGGCACTGTACTATTAATTCACAAAGTAACAAAGCTGATGTCAGTAAGTTCCAACTTCTAGAAGAAAACATTTTACATTTAATTTTTACGTTTAACTAAGGCTTTTACTGCCAAGATGATTGAATATAACTGGAAGATTATATTCATCAAGATGTTATGAATCCGTACATTAAAACAAATATCTCATTTTACTAATACTTAAAATCTGAGCATAAAATTCTCCCAGGAAGTAGGAAAGGAAAGGCATACTCCAGTTTAGTCAGAATATGCTTATTTACTTTTACTGCTATTTACTAAAAGATAATGATTTAAAAAGTAATACATTGTGTGTAATGGAGATGGCTTTACATCTGGTGAAAACAGGTAAGTAAAATGATAATGCATTTACAGCCTTGTAGACATATAATAGCCAAGTTCCTTCTTCTTAAAATCTGTCTTTAAAGTTGTCATGATTCTAAAAATCAGTAATTTTTAAAGATCTTAATGCAAAATGTTCAAAGCACTTTGTAGCCTTGCACAAAATCTTTTTATCTATGTCTTCTAAAATGCTTTTCAACTAATCAAATATAAACTATTCTCTTTATCATGGAAACTTAAATATAAAAATGAAATTACTTTAGGTGAAGAAAGGTCTTGATTTACAAAGTCTAGGCAATGAAGTGTGAATCAGAATTTGTGTTCTCTACTTCTGGGGGATTTTGTGAGTCACCAGGAGGGAGGAGATTGACAGGGATTGCTGGAGCCCACCCTCTGAGGTCCTCACGCAGAAATTTTGAGAGATGTCCTCCTGACTCTGAATTTCAAACAAGTTCCAAGATGATGTTTAGACTTCTGGTTAGGATTCATATGTTGAAAGACCACCTCCTATGATCTATAAAACAGATCTGAAAAGTAATATATGCATGTTTCATTTTCATCCACCTAATAGCTGTGACATTAATCATGGCCAGAGATGCTGATTAACACTTTTCACACAAAGTCAACTGTATTTCTAACTAAGTGACTAAAAGCCACATTCATGTTAACATAAAACAAGGGCCACTCTCTTCATCACAGTGATCAACTCAAGTAATGGAAAAGCGTCCTCCCTACTGATAAGTGACACAGGCAAGGGCCTCTTTAAATTTTTGATTATTGCTTATCTATGCTGCCAAGCTGTAACCTCATTCTTCTGACCAACAGGGGACTTGCTTAAGTAACCTAAAAGTCTAGGAGTAAGTCAGCAAATGGAACCATTCCTCTCTCATCCTTAAAAATCTAGCATTCCACCCTCCTCCCAGTCTCCCCACCTCACTTTTTTTTCCAGACAAGGTCTCTTGGTATAGCTCTGACTGTCCTAGAACTGGATTCCTAGGGCAGGGTGGCCTCAAAACCACATAGCTCCACCTAACCCTGCCTCCCAAGTGCTGGGATTAAAGCAGTGTGCAACCACTGCCTGGCATACCTCACACATTTTAAAGAAACAAAGCAAAAACTCCTTTTAGTTGGAAGAAACAAAGACAAACTTGAACAGGAGAGGCCAAGGACTCAGGGAACAGCTCTGAGTAAATTCCAGTTCTCTTCAAACCCCGCCCCCTGGTGTCAGTCAAGCTTTCAGGAAATTGAGCATCTCTTTTCCACATTGAAGCTCACCAAAGCCAACACTGACCACCATGTTTGTGAGGGGCTCTGAAACAGGTAGAAAAGTTGCTTTGGTTTGGCAAGGAGGGGGTGGAGAAAAGAGAAATGAACGTGCTCGGAGATGAGAGAAAGTGAAGGGATTTTGGCTCCTGCCTAGAACAGAAATAGAAAGACAAGAGAGGGAGTGGCATAAGGAGGAATCAAAGCTCTCAGCTCGGGACCACCCTTTTCTGCCTACCCCTGCCCCACACATACTATGTAGTTGCTTGCCCAGGATTGAACACAGAGTGGTAATGGGCCTTGCTGCACTCATCCACCCATTGCAAGGTTCCCAGGGAGTTTGAGGACTCCCACTCCATGGTACCAGTAATAACTCTGCAGGAAGTTCTGGAGACTAAAGGGAAATCACTGGCACTTCTACAGATACACATGCTTTCTGGCCCAGGCAGCTATTGACCTAGCCTACACTGAGTCTAAGACTATGCAGCATCAGTGTGAGTTTTTCACACATTTTCCAAGTACATAAGGGTGTGTGCTAGTCTTGGCCTGCTCTATCCTCTAAATCTTCACTTTAAACATTAACCTTGCAATATACCTTGAGAACAGAAAACTCCCTTTTCTTTTAGAGCATTGTCAGCTTGTCGCAGAAAATAAGGATATTTCAACTAACTATAGTCAGTCAAGAAAAAAAAACACATGAGACGCACAGATACAGAAGATAGGTAGGTAGAGAGAGAGAGAGAGAGAGAGAGAGAGAGAGAGAGAGAGAGAGAGAGAGAGAGTCAGTCTTAGGTGACTAAACACAAGAGTGCCAACTGCTGACAGGCAAAGGAACCAGGATTTGTTTGGGAGCACTTCAAAAGCCTTCCAGTTAATAAGCTCACGCTTTACCCTGGGTCCCTCTTGGATCTGGGTTTTCTGAAGAGCTAAGATTTTGTTCTGGTTGTGAGTGGTGTCCTGCCCTGGAGCAGAGACGCGCGGACTTTTTCAGTTCATTCATGCATTCGCTCATCCATTCACACAAACATGTCCCTTAATTGTGTCTGGCACCGAGAATCTTGCCTGCTATTTCCCCTCCCCAAGTCAGTGCTCATGGCAAAGGCTGGTACAGAATACAACTCAACTGTCACCCCATTTCCTTAGCTAGAAAACCAAGTCCTGTAGACATTCACAGAAAAGGGGGGGGAGTGATTTAAAAAAAAAAAACAACAGCAAAAAGGATAAAGAACGTGGAAAGGAAGATACACCTTCAGGGAGAGGGGCCTCCCAGGCATTAAGGGATGGGGAGGTGAAAGGGACTCAGGGGGGGTCACATTCCAAGGCTCCCTTTAGGGGAACCGTGGCAGTGACACCGAGGCTCACTAGAAGCCAAACCATTATTAAATCCAAGACTGCAAGAGCCCGTGTTCCCCCGCGGGGATAAATCAAGTGTAAAGCCACTCATTCCAGCGAGTGCGATGCTGTTGGCCCGACCCAACTCAGAGCCCTAGTCGAGGAGCCAGGGGAGCCGCTCACAGCCCAATCCGCAGCGCGCTCGCTGCCTCCTTCCAGCTCCCAATAACGTGATGAAGTGTAAATCAAATGCCACGCCAGGAGGGGCCCCGGAACGGCGCAAGTCGTGCATCTTAGATCAGCAGCCTATCTTGCCTAGGAATCACAAGGTCATGATAGCGTCGCGATTCCACTCACCGTACACTCCTTGGCCAGAGATCCCCTCCAGGAGGACTGTCAGCAGCCACACGAGACCGTACACTAAATCCATCTTCACGTGAACATGAACATATCCAGCCCAAGGGGGACGCAGTGGAACCTTCCGGAGGCCAGCGGCCAGCCAGGCGCGCTCCACTTGTGCCCGGGCCGAGTCGAGGTCCCCGGGAACTGCTCCCGGTGGGAGGAAGCGCCGTCTGTCTGTCCTTCTCTGGAGGCGGCCACAAGCGGAGCTCTGGAGCCCCACACACCCCACACTCATGCACAAGCACACACACACACAAGCACAGACAGTCTCTCTCTCTCTCTCTCTCTCACACACACACACACACACACACACACAAGCACACGCGCACACACACAAGAACACGCGCGGACACACTCCCACTACACAATACCCCGATACAAGCACTCACAGGCAAGCCGCACTCACACCGGGCGCCTGGGAAAATCGCAGACGCCTGGGAGGAGCAGGGGGCGGTGATGGGAAGCAGAGCCGCGAGGACAAGTGTTCTTCGGGAAGCGGCTCCGGCTCTCGGTGCCGGCAAGCGGCCGGAGCGGACAGGGGCCCCGGGGGCGCCGCGCGATGCGAACCGCGCTGGACAGCCGGGGAGCAGGAAGTGGCCTCTGACCCGGGCACGAAGCAGGGCTCCCTCGCCCGGGTTCGCCTTTACAAAGTAACTCGCGAAGGTCCCCAGAGGAGCGTCAAGCGGCAGCAGCGGCTCGCCGGCCCGCAGTCCGGAGCCCCCAGCCCTGCTGTCTTGCCTTCCCCCATTCCATCAGTTGCCATTGCAACGCCAATCCTGTTACACGACACAGACTCGCATCGCCGAGCGGGGAGAGGAAGAGGAGGAGGAGGAAGAGGAGGAGTGGGAAACGGGGGATGGGGAGGAGGGTGAGGAGGAGGAGAGTGGAGGACGAAAGGGTCCAGGCGGGAGCGGAGTGCCCGTCTGGAGCTCGCCAGGCACCAGCCTCAGCTGCAGCTGCCACAGCCACGGCTCTCCCAAACAGCCTTGAGCGCCCCGCCAACGAAGAGGGTGCTCCTGCCGGCAGCACCGATCCCGGGAGCCAAAAGCAGAGTCCGAGCACCGCCACTTGTAGGAGAGGAAAGATGCCGAGCAGAGAGCAGATCGGCACACCGTCCACGCGTGCCCACCGGTACCGCGCGTCCTCTTCGCTTCCGCGCCGCCCCCGCCAGGTGGAGGGGTGGGGGCGGTCGGGACTGGCGGGAGTTTAGACCCCGGGAGCCGCAGAAGGGCTTCCCTACCCGGGCTAACGGAGTGCTGGCATCCGGAGCAGAACGGAGGAGCGGCAGCCTGCTGAGGGCACCCAGACTGCGTGGTCGCCTCGCGGGCCGCAGTTGCGGCAGAGATGCCCGAGCTGGGCGGAAGAGCGCCCGGGGCCCTATGCTTGCCCGGGATCCCTGGATTGGCGCTGGGGTTGCGCGCCGCGGAGGCGAGAGGAGGGAGGAGGAGGATGGAGAAGCGGCCGACGCGGAGGGCAGGCGGCCCGGCTGCTGGGGAGGAAGGCTGTGTGTGGTCACGTTGTGCGCTACGTGCTGAGAGCGCGAGGCTGCTAGCCGCAGCCAGGCGACGTCAAAGCCGAGTGCGCGGCTCGGCAGCCTTCCTCCGAACCCCTTCTGCTTCCCTGGCTCCTCCTCAGCTCTGTTCGCCCAGGGTCAACCCAGGAGCTTATCAGCATGGACAAGTGCCAGGGGGTCTCCGCGGGGCAGTGGTACCCAGTCTCTCTTCTACCCCCTGAGGCCCTCCCTGGTTCTCCCTAGCTCCATGGGGGCGAGGGCTGGTAATTCATTTCCGATGCCGCCTCTGGCATTTGCACGCGGAAAGGAAGGGAAGGGCTGGCTACATCCTCAGACACGCGGTAATTACAGGACACCTTTCTTATTCCCTTCCTACCATCCAAGGTCTTCCCGGATCCGTTCTGCTTGGCTAGAGGGCAGAACAGGCCAAGGCATTGGGAGCTGCATCATTCTTCTCCATTTCTGTCATGTTTTAGTGGAAATATGCTCATCATAACAGAGAAAGAGTGCGGGGGAGGGAAAATCACCAGGAGTACAGAAAGGGTCGGTTTCATATGAAATGCCTCCTAAAGTTAAACACCCAAGAAAGCCCCTCTTTTTTTTTCTGCCTTTGAGATGGGATCAGCTTTGAGGTGCTTAAAATTGTCCCTATTACAAAATGATGAGAGAGTCGAAGCATCTTTTATTTGCATCAGAACAGGTATAGAACCAGTTCACCAAACTGTAACAGGAAATATCTGAGACCATCTGAATTGCTTTGATATGTTTCTTATTCAAACTAGTGTTTAATGCCTACAACCCACTTAGCTAAAACGTGGTAGGGAAGTGAGTGAAATGGTTAAATGCGTGCATTTATACGTGTGAAAAAGTTATTGTCAGGAAAATCTCGAGTACAGTATTCATTCATCTGTCGCCATAATAAACTGGGATAGTGCACTGCCACTGCGGGGTCCTTCTATTCATGCAGTACTTCTGCTGGGGACTGGGAGGGGAGGACTCCCAAACACTAGAAATGAATAGCCCTCAGTATTTTCACCATCCTTCCCTCACTTAGTGAATTGTGAATACGATTTTTATAGGGTGTGAGCTAGTGCTAGCTCTCTTGGTTTACAAGGTACAAAGAACCAAGAATTGCAGAGGGGCCCCATGGATGGCTCACAGTGTTGAGGACCCTGTATGTAAGAGAGACCACTTTCGCTAGATGGAGTGAAGTATCACTTGAGAAATGGAATTCAATGTAAGGTATTTCTGAAAGAAATGACTGAAGTTCTCTTACTGATCACCTCAGGGTGGAGGTCTTAGGATTTTGGCCTGTTAGAAGTATCTCGTTCATACACACTGCAGCACAGTGGTTTCCTGGGAGCGCATTTCTCTTACTTGCGAGCTCAGGAAATGTCTTATGCGGGGCTCTCTGAATTGTTCTTATCGTGTACTTCACCTTCATATTTACACTATACATTTTAACCCTTAGTTATGAAATCACAGTCTTTGAAAAACTCTAGATTGGAAACATTTACCATCCTAACCAGTGTATCATTGTGGTAAAGAAACCAAGAAAACTGTGTGTGGTTCTAACATCATTGGTCTTTAACACTCAACATCATGGGCATGGGAACTTTATTTCCATTGACTCTATAGCTCTGCATAGATTTTAAAAATTACCACAGAGTCCTCAGCAATTTATGGGGGGGAGGAAGAATTTGAAGTTTGGAGACAATGTGGGTAACCTGATCATTTTGCAATTTGTTTGAATAGTTGAATTAAAATATAGGAAAGAGTAGGGTATACTTACACTATCCCAATTAATGGATAAAGGAACAACAGACATGATTCTTCTATTCACTCAGAGTTTAGGGACAAAATATATTGGCCAATAAATGTATTGCCACTGCAAGTGTTATCCATATTCTTAGAACCCAGAAGAGTGACAATTTAGCATGCAACCATGTATTGTATTGCTCATTAGTAAGAAGGAAAAGTGCACTATACTTAATATATGCTTTCACTTCCCTATAAAATATGTAGATAGCTTACAGAATAAATTGGCCAGCTTATTTATTAAAGATACTAATTTCTTCTTCAAATTCAATCTTTTTTCAGGCTGCACTGACAAAGCAGTGATATTGTAGTCACACCTTAGCACTGGCTACTTCAGGCCTCCAGGTGGTGAGCCTGAGCTGAGCCTGAAAGACAGGCAGGAGATATCTTAGCAGATAGAAGGTACTGAGCCAGAGACAGCAGCTCCAAAGCTTGTTGTGGAATCAATAGCAGGGCACAATATGAAGCCCAGTTAGAGGAAGTCCCTACAGAGGTAGTGTGATTTCCTTCTTAGATCACCATTTTTTTAAATTTCTGTATTGAATGTATCTGTTATGGGGGATTTACCACCTTAAGTAACCCTCTGTTACATTGCTAACACTATCCACTCAACAGTATTCTGTCCAATAGTGGACACTATCATTGGTGATGATGGGTCACAAATACCTTAGAATTTATCCCTTGGCAACTTGAATTAGTTTAGTCACCTGTTGCACTTTAATTAACTACAGTATCATCTAATATTAAGTACTTGTTTAATATTTAATGCTTCCATCTCTAGTCTCTAATATATGCATAATGTTTCAACCTAAATAGAGGGAGACAATGTCACTGAAGGTTTCTTAGGAACCACTCAAGGTAGTAGGAAAGAAATAAGATAAGATAGAAAAGACAGACCTGGTAGTATGTACCTGTAATCCCAGCACTCAGCAGGATGAGGAAGGGTGATGGGTTCCAGTCCAGTATGGACTACACAGTAAAGACACAAAAATTGAAGTGCTAATGCTGGAGATAGAATTGAGAAGGGAAAAGGCAGAATACCAATGGCAAATCTGCCTTCAATTTTCCAGTCTAGTCCCTTATCATAATACAAATACTAGGCCTTGAGTACTATATTTATTCTACTTCCTGGCAGACAGTTATATCACACAAACTCAAATCCACACTACACCCTGGGCCAGATGATAAAAGGAAACAGGAATGAGAAGAATCATCACTGATCTACATGAAATCTTTTGGAAATTCTACTCACAGATGAAAACCCATATTTAATTATGTTTGCCTCAGTGATCTTGGTCACAGATTCTGAACCCACATCGTAGCTTGTTATGCACCTGATGATTTTCGACTACTGAGAAAGACAGGAAGCACAACATTGAATCAGGGATGTCCTAGCTGGTCCCGAATGTAGGGGGCAAGTAGTGACACTTTAGCAATGGAGTCTGCCTGGCAGTGCTAGGAGTGAGACAATGAGGAGTTTGGGGAAATAGGATTGACCCTCAACAAAGCTTTAGTGTGAACAAAAAGAGCAGGAATGGCAAGTGCTAATACTAGAACTGTGGAAATTAAGCTGAATGCCCCTTAAATGGACTGAAACTATCTAAAAGGAGACATTCGGCCTGGATGAGCAACAAAACCCTAATGAAAACCCCTGGACAAAGCAAATCCAGAGTCCAGTAAAAAAGGTAGGTGCCTGACAAAGACATAATATGCAGATGCTGGTCTGGGAGGATGCAGATGGTGGGGCTAGGGCCTCATATTCACCATGGCTGTCTCTGAGAGGTGTCTGGCCAGCTGAACAAAATCAAGAACGTTGAAGGTCTTCCCAGTCTTTGTTCAGCTTAAAAAGCAGTAGTATAATATGGAGATCTTTCAGTCATTTTGTAAAGAGTGTTATTTCCTTATGTGCTATACATTTTGAACACCAAGCATTCTAGTCCTTAGTTCTAGATACCCAGGATTTTGTGACCTAATCCAGATTTCTGTACCATT